CTGGCTACGCCCGTCCCATGACCCTGCCCGCGGGGATCCCTAGCTGGCCGGTACGGCGCATTGTGCCGTGCCGGCCACCGAGGGATCCCCTGACGGCAGCCCCCATCTTGTAGTTCTGTCCTGCAAAGAGGGGGGCGGCGGAGGGAGCTACACGGGCATGCCCAAGTAGTCCTCCGCAGCGGACGGGGGGCGGTACGGTGGGCACTAGGCCGCGTATTTTGCCCCCACGCGCGGGCCATCCTGCGCACGTCTGCGGGGTCCCCGCAATACCTCGGGAGACCCCTGCCGTGGAGCCCCGGCTAGGCCGGGAGGCTGCTGGGTGCGGAGACGCGGAAGAATCCCTAAACGGGGATCCCGCGGTTTCGCACTAAGCAGCTTAGAGGGTATTCGCAGGACTTTTTTAGCGGATATTATACCGTAAAGCGCCCGTAAGAGTTGCGGGGTCCTCGGTGGGCAGCCACTGTGGGGTTTGTAAGACTTGCGGGAGCCAGGTGTGAGGTCGTTCGGCGGTGTGCCTCTTAAAGGCGCCGTCGTCTGTAAAAAGATTTTTTACCTGCGTATTAAAAAAAAAAAAAAAAAAAAAAAAAAGGTGTCGGCCACCGTAATAGCGCCGAGACGTCACCTGTCATGACCGCTTTCGTAAGACGCAGCATGACGGCGTTCGGTGTCTTTAAAAGCATATTTCTCGAGATTATTGTACTCGTATCAAGCAATTATTATTAGTTGATCGCGGACTGTTCACAATACCGGCTAGAACTCTCACACAGAATCTCTCTCCGCTAGTTTTTCTATGAGAGCTATCAAAGATAATGCTCTCTCAGCTAGCGTTGTCAGTCGTCTGGATAAAGCTGGACATAAGAAGTTAGGCTTTTTGATAGCGTGTCCGGCCAAAATAAACGGTGTACGGTTTGTCCAGCTTAGGTTAGGCTTTTAACATTTCGCAAACGAGCGAGCGCCGAGCGTGGCCGAGCGAAAGTTGACTGTCAGTGCTTTTATATAACTTTTTTTGTCGTCCTCGTAGCTAATATTACTGAGCTACGACATTCTCAATATTGTAGGGAATCCGGCCTTTCAAACGAAATGTTCAACCAATCTGGCTGGTCTGTCCGGCTATTAGGTTAGGCGACCTGGCAACCCTCAGCAATACTGGCACAGCGATGCTTGCTTGTCTCATTTTACGCATTTTTGCGCTTAACATTTCGCAAACGAGCGACCGAGCGTAAGTTGACTGCCAGTCCTCTTATATATTTTTTTTTGTCGTACTCGTACCTAATATTACTGAGCTACAAAATTCTCAATATTGTAGGGAAATGTTCGACCAATCTGGCTGGTCTGTCCGGCTATTAGGTTTAGCGACCTGGCAACCCTTAGCAATACTGGCATAGCGATACTCGCTTGTCTCAAAAAGCATATTACGCATTTTTGCTCAGTATTGTCTCCGCGAGCGTGAGGCTGCAAGCAATCGCCCGTTGTACTCGCATATTCGCTTATAGCCCAGCGTACAAAACTATCGGAACTAGATACACGCTTCCCGATGTCGCCGAGGACCGCACTCTCGACGACAGCGCACGGACCTACGCTCCCACGTAAGTGCTCCGCCGTAAAGTTGGACTATACTTCTCCGTGAGCAATGCCTGGCGCCATCGTGCCAGCAGGGACTACCGCGCCTCTTAGCCGTAGGCCTTGAGTGCGCCGCAAGGCGCAGTTCGGCCAAGGTCGCGGCGACGTGAGCCCCGATCGCGCAATGATCGACGATCAACTGACGCTGATGTACCCCGACCCGTCAGTGGACGATGGTATCGCCCACGCAACGGCTCGCTACTACTTAGGCGCTTTGCAGACGGCGCGCGGGGCGGAGCGAGCCGGTCAATTTCGCCGCGAACGATTGCACAAAGTGAATCGTATACTACAAACGCACACAGAGGGCAAAAAGACCGCGCCGCAGGTGCCCGGCGGGCACTGGCGGCGCGGCATGTCCGCGGCTGCCCGCCGTGGATCATACAAACCAGTTTATATGCAGTAACGCAGAGGGCGGCGCGGGGCGGCTAGCTCACTCCGCGCCACGCGCTTTTTAGTGATGGACTATTCACTAGAACGAACGTCCTGAACTGACTGCCTCTGCCCGTCGTGTGCTTTGTGTACGCGGCGAGGGCAGCCGCAGACATCGGCGGGCAGACGCGGTTTTTATTGCTTCGCGGACAAAAAGCCCGCCCCGCCCCGTCGTCTATAAAGCGCCTTATGAGCAAGCGAGGGGAGCTCGCTTCTCGTCCATCGTTTGCAGTGGAACAAGTGCCTTATGCCTTTAGTAAATTGGGGCAAATACATTATAGACAAATATAAATATCGTCCGGTCATAATCTATAACCGCTGATATAAAATCAAGGCTGCGACATTGGGAATACTACGAGTAGCATTATGAATATGACTGTTATTGCTGAGATATTGCGTAATGGTGCTCTTACACTGCTCTTAAAAGTGTCTGTAAAGAGTAGTAAACATTTTTTAAATGAAAATTTGATCACAAAGGTAGGTCTTCAATTTAGAATCTTATGGAGGACCGCAAACTAGGCGATTGCATGTTGTGGGAATAAGCTGCATATAGCAGCTACTATATGGTTATATTATGTAAAGGTTCTCTGGAAGAGATCGCTCTCAGCGATAAGGCCGCCCACTGTTACACTAGTTTTAAATAGTTATGTACTAAATGTTATGTTATCTGTGGTGTACAATAAATTGTTTTGTATTGTATTGTATTGTATTGCATTGTATTGTATATGCAGCTTATAAGCTTAGTGTTAGATGTCGCAACACTAACGGTGCCGATGTAATGTGCCATGACCTTTACCCTGTCTATTGATAAATAGGTTTTGCTATCTGAAAGTTAACAGCTGAATGCGTTCTTTGTTAGCTCCACGCTTTCATGTAAGCGTGGGAATCGTTATATTTATGTTTTAAGTACGTAGATATAAATACTTGTTCTATACATACATGTCCTTCAATTATCATATTATCTTATTGTTAAAAGTTTTATTGTGTTCTATAAAACGTTTTTCACATTTTTATTGTTTGTGTTGTGATTATTTATTCTTTATAATATATAAGCAATATTCACATCAATTATTCAGTCACAAACAAAGAAAAGATAAAAATATAGCAAATTAAACAAGTGGGTAGGTAAATACACATCCACGAGTCGAGTATAAATTGCTCATTTTCATACACAAACAATTCATAGGCTATATATATGTACCTATTTACTTAGGGAACTGTGAAGAGTATTACAATTGGAATAGGATTCACTTTAGATGTAGAAAATATTATTTTTAAAGAAGCAACATTTTTATTTATCTCCTTAACTTGTATGTATTCTTCTCTATATGTTAGACTGGGAGAGATAGAAAACGGAATACGCTAAATACTAACTTAATACATTAAATATTTATACGCTAATAATTATTTGTTAAATTACCCCACCCACCATTGTCTCATGTATCGCTCCAGTCATCTTCACCATGTCGGTCTCAACCCAATCCCCTACCCCGCGGAGCCCTGGAACCCCACTTACCAGCAAAAACACAACACCACCAAAAGGTAGTGTTGTTTTACTGTGGTCTTCTGTAAGGTGGAGGTTGCTTCCCCAAACCGGCGCTCCAATTCGAGCGGGAAATATATAATAATACTAGCTGACCCAGCGAACTTCGTACCGCCCTAAAAAAATAGGGGTTGTCCAGCGGACAAAATTGTGAATCTAAACCATTCTCAGATCCCCTTGAACACACACAAAAAATTTCATCAAAATCGGTCCAGTCGTTTAAGAGAAGTTCAGTGACATACACACTCACAGAAGAATTATATATATAAAGATAAAATATAAAATCCGTCGCACAAGGTGAAAGATTAAAAAAAAAATTGGCTTAAACGCCAAAAAACTATAGTACGTTCACATACTATAGTTTTTTACACCTACCGTGTGAAATTTTCCTGTGAGTGCACAACGAAATGCTGAACAAACTAAATTTTGCAATTTTTTATAAGCATTTAACTGCCAGGTGTTTAAGTCTAAAGAAAATTTTCCCCGTCCCGGATTTTTGCCTGCGCGGACAAAAGTGTTTACGCAGGCAAAAAAAAATCAACTCTTCTTTCTACTTGAAATATTATGTATTCTGTAGTTTTACCTAAAGGCCGATTTTCATGTTACCTTTAAATTATCTCGTTATTAAAATCCCAAAAGCAGTTAGTGCAAAATGCATACTAAGAAAAAAATACTATTCTGAGAATTTCAAGAATCGAACGAAACTTTTTTACTAAGAAAAAAATACTATTCTGGGAATTTCAAGAATCGATAGGAACAAAATTATTACTGAGCCACTCGTTGTTGTTGATCGATTGCATCTTTAATTATTTTCTTTTAAAACAGCTTCTTTACATTTGCAGTGGCTAAAGCTGCAACCTATCAACGCGATTAGGGAATAGAGTTCACCAAAGACTATTTGAACACCCATCTGATTATCTTCTTCTGTTGGTTACTTAGTCTCCGCTATTTCAGATTGAAATAATCCTATGGTCATAGGTAACGCTACGTTATAATCGCTGGAATTATTAAACCATCGACCTTTATTCTTGATTTTATTTCAGACTCACATTAATATAGACTTCTGTAAAATAACAATACAAAAATGGCGGGAAACCATCGAGGCGGGAAACGCTCCGTGATAACGCCAATCGTTGATTTCGTTTTAAAGTATAATCCAATAATGAACTTTAATACTAAAGATAATAAAACAACGAACCATTGATATTAATACTACCTGAGCTGAGACCTATTTAAAACTGGGACGGTTTAATAATAAAGTTCTTTATTTTCACTCTTAATAGTGCAATCGCTGTAAAAATTGATGCTGCTAGAATGTGAAAGTCATAAATTTCGAGAAAATAACTTTACGGCGATATAATGACGTTCCGCCCTATCAGTGGATACGCGCGAAGTGAGACAGTCTCGGCTTGTGCATTGTGGAGTGAACACGAACGCTTCCATTCGCCTTTGCTTCGCACCGCGCGATCTTTTCAAAAGTTTCGTCGAGTACCACAGACTTTACTGAAAAATTCTAATCGACTTTTGGAACGTTTATGAAATTACATCGATTCTTTTTTTTTGTATCAAGCAGTTTTGTGTCAATTTCGTTATCATCTGGAAATATCTATTGAAAAGTGTTCGTCGGAAAGAGAGCTTTCTTGGTAAGTACCGTACTTTTATAAATTATATGTGAGTAGGTAACTTTTTTACACTTTTTATTTTATAAAAATATTTTTTTATAAGACGAAATAAAATGTTATAATAAGCAAAGACTCACAAGGCAAGATACTGAACAACTACTGATTACATTTTTTTATCTCTAAAAGTGAAGATTTTACACTATCACTTTTAGAAAGAATTACTTACTGGATACTTTATTTTTACAATACTTATAATGATGGAGAACAGTAAATTTTTAAATAATTTTTTTGTAACTAACTCAAACAAAATCAATTAATATCGACTTACTAATAAAATAACTATTCTCAAACAAAATCAATTAATTTCGACTTACAAGCAAAAATATCAAAGATGGTTTATTTATATATACTTAAAAATACATTAAAGCGGAGAAGTTTGTTTTAAGTAAAAATCATACTTTTTTTCTAAGAACTGCGCGATGTTTTTTATCTCAACATAATATCTCAAAAGTTAATTTCCGAGAAGGTTGTTAAAATACGGAAATTGTTTCGGCAGGTAATTTAGCGTTTTCCAATTTTTAGATAACTTCAAAATCAATATGAGAACTTTCAACTTGACGACGATAACGTAAAAAACATTTTCTTCAAAAAGGAACTTCAAAGGAAAAAGTTACACTGATTTTTAAATGCGGTACCTTTTCATGATTAAATATTGGCTTTCAAGATCGGAACGCTTTTCTAAGAAACAAAGCAGTACTTTTTGCCACTTTGTAATTATGTAATTTCGAAATGTTTTATTTAAAACAGAGTATGATTTCATTTAATTAGATTGTGTTATCAAACAAGGACCACGCTCAAATATTTCCTTTTCATTAGCTATTTGTTTTAAGAATCTTAATAAAATCATTATGTGCACGTGTTTTAAAAATGCTTTTTTTTTCAATTGAAATTGAATGAGATTTTTTTCTGTTATTTACAGAGCAATAGCATAACCTTCTTGATTGTAAATAAAAATTTGTTATTTGCTATTAATTTCCAAAGATGTTTTTTTTTGTAATTTTAACTTGGCAACACGTTCTTAATTATTCTGGTCACTTGATAGGTAACCCAACCTAAACTCTTGCGAAGAGAAATTACTGAAACAAAGTTCTTATTTCCATATCGAATCATTCATTCGAAACGATTTCCTTAATTTGCCAATCCGATGCCAAATTTAATTTCCAGACGACTTTCTTTAGAGTCAAGGTTTATGGGGGTCTCTTGGTTGGATATTACTGTAGGGGAAAGCCGAGAGAATTGCCCAGGTAGGAAGGAGATTGAACCATCTTTTAAAATAGGGATGATGACTATTTTTTTTTCTTCGTTTATCAGGTAGATTATCAAAAAGTATTGGACACGTGTTTTTTCTTTTTTCACATAATATAAACATTGCAGAGATATATTGATGTGAAAAATCGCATGACGTCACGTTTTGGTACAATTTTCACTTAAAAGTGACGTCACGAGTCCCTACTCCCAAACTTTGACGTGCTATAACTTTGTCATTTTTTGGTTGATTGCCCAAAGAAAAAATACGTGTCCATTATTTTTTGATCATCTAACTGACGGACTAAATAGAATTTCGTTTACTGTACCCCGTCATCAACTCTATTGTATTTTATGAGTGAGAGAGAGATTTTGTTCACCGAGACTGTTTTGTTGCGATTGGCGTCTCGCATGTGACCAATGAACTAATTGAAGTTTTATTTACGCTAAATTTATATACAATTTTGAAAGATGGTTCAACTTTCCCACCTGAGCAAGTCTCTAGGTTTTCCCCTACAGTAATAACTAACCAAGAAACCACCCATCGTATTTCGAGATTATTGCGGTAGATTATGTCGCAGGCAATTTGTATGATTACGCGTTTTACAAACGGCGTCGTTCAAAGCGCAAAACATGCCGTTACCAATAAAGGTAATTAACTTTACGTAAACGATACTTACCGGTAAAATGATACATAAGTAACGTTACCTCATAACGGTAAAAAGACTGGTAACGGTAATAGTTTCAACAGATATGTATAAATAAAACTAGTTTTTACGGGTTAATGCACGAAAGTTTATTTATTTATTGACGTTTCGTAGCCTTTACGGGCTACGTCGTCAGAATCAAACTTTTATTTAATTTGTCGAGCTACCTTCGAAAGACTTACGAAGGTAGCTCGACAAATTAAAGGACGACGACGTAGCCTGTAAAGGCTACGAAACGTCAATAAATAAATAAACTTTCGTGCATTAACCCGTAAAAACTAGTTTTATTTAATGAGTGATGTGCGTGAAAACCTAAAAAACAAATAGATATGTATAATGTTACCGAAGTAACGTTAATTGGAGTATAGTTATTTTCTGATTATCATTAGCCTTGCCAAACAAATGTAGCGTTACCGAATTATTAACGGTATTCTAAGCCCTGCCACGTAATACATACTTCTGCTACAGGAAGTTACTGTCCCTTTACTCACCTATAAGCCACTAAGAAACAGGCACCGAGTCGACCCCCACGACAACGGCTAAGTAGAGTCGAGGTCCGAGTCCCCGAGACGCCCTCTAGTTGAGCCGACCCCGAGCACACACGACCACAGCTTCGAGTGGTCTAGAGGCTTCAGAAGGAGAGGAGATTCCCTCCGTGGGGAGATGCCATCCGCATGGAATAGCTTTAGAGGCACTCGCCAATTCTCGGCCTGAGGCCCCCCAAGGATCTCGCCGTCCCCAAACCCGGTGACGCTGTAAAGGTCATCTGCGAACAACAGCATACACACAAAAACGCCGAGTCGATGTAAGGTTTGGTTTGTATTGTATCAATCCACCTTCGCATTTGTGACTAGATTTATTTACTCATCATTGTCATTCAACAAATGGCGGATTTAATGACATAACGCATTCTCTATCAGTCAACCATCGGGCTAAGCGGAGAAAATAGGACGGTAAAGTACCAAAACAAGCAGATGAAAGAAAGAGAAAAAGAAACAAAATCGTACAAATTCATAGTATGGTAACTAATTAATATACATTAAAACTTACCTACATACCTACCAACATACACATACATGTATAAGACAAATAAAATATTGAAGTATACACTAAAATAAAGTACTGTTATATATAATAAAAAAAATCGGTAGTAGAGACGCAAAATCTTTTAAACGCCACTTTGGTGTTGCTTTAAAATTAACTTAATATAAGTTTTTATTCACACAATACACACATTTCACACATTAAAAAGTGACGCGAAAAGACAACCGGTTATCGAAATCCTATATAATCAAATACGAGTCACATCTAGGTTTTTATATTTTTGATAGCTTTTTACGAATTTCGTAAAAAGTTGCTGACTATAATTTGTAAGATTGAATAAAACGAAAACATACATTTTTACTCACGTTCAGCGATCCTATATGTAATGATCTTATTAATTTCATGTGTTTACATTTTGAATATAGAACAATACAAATGAAAAGTTCTGTGGCGAATAAGTAATTCTTATTATATTATTATTTGTATGATATAACATTTCTTAATGCTAATAAGAATAAAACAATTATTTATATTAATTTACTTAATCCTTTTAAAATTTTGCCAAAGGGCCGGTGTTTTTGAGTTAAATTGATATTTAATAGTAACCTAAATATAAGTTAGACTTTGATTCTATATGTATATTTAATTTTACACCCTAAAATTACCGATGCGATAATTTTTTTGACTAAATGCGCGACTCTAATAACAATGTCAAAAGGTGAATTTGTATATAGTGAATGTGTTAAAATTTGACAAAGTTATTTTTTCTAAACGAATTAACTATAGTAAAATTAAACTATCGATGATACAACGCGGCCTTAGTTAACCCCAATCGTGAGAGCTGGATTTTTAATACTACATTACTGCAGCGGCCAGCAAAAGAGGCATTGATGGAGGAACGTGTAAAATATATATATACATAAGTCCATCAATGGCCAGTTGTGGCCAAGGCTTATTCCTACAGTACTTTTCTCCAATAATGAGCGGAAATTATATACAATTACTTTTCAAAACCAATAACGAACAACAAACAACAATAATTAAAATCGCGTTAAAGTGTTCGTTTGTTTCAATGAACAGCTTTCTATTTGCAAGCCAATTCGAAATTAAAATAAAACCCTTGATAAGTTACCTCCTTGTTTGCAATGCTTCGGAGTTAAATATCGTTCAATTTTTAAATAACACGACAGGTATAAGTTTATAAGTTAAATCGTTCAACTGAGACCTCGCGAGGACTCACTTAAGCGGTCTACCTTATAGTAATTTAGTCACTAAAACACGACTGATAGATATGGATTTTCATTAAAAAAAATGCCGGCCGCTGCTCGAAACAATTACAGTACAGCAATTTCGATTTATCTCCAAGAAGTTTAGCAAAATAATACTAAATTTTCACATGGTTAAAAAACACATAAAAATTTCGCGCATGATTCAGAAGAAGATTTTTACTCATTTGTAACAAGAAATTAATTCAAGTCACACGTAAGGGAAAGTTAAAGTTGAAGCTGGCGCGCTTTAGGTTTTTCTTTTGCTCCCAATACAGCATGTGAGATTTCAATATAAATCAAAATAACAAAATAAAAAATTAACTATTTTTTGTATATTTTGTAGGTTCTAAAATTGATCGTAGGCTATTTTTTATACCCCTTGATAATAAGATTTTTTTGGACAACTATTTATTTATTTTTTATGATTTGACATAAAATATACCTACAACCCTAAAATACACTTCCACCACTAAACCCTATTTCATGGATGTCCGAAGTTAGCTGGGTCAGCAATTTTACAGTAAAAAAAGCTTTACTGTAAATATTAACGGAATACAATTGTAATAATGACATTGTCATAGCTGGACAACATGTTTTGGGAAATTTCGGGTTATAAGCGGATATATCACTTACCTAATTTATTACGTCAGTTATTGTTACTTGTGAGTTAAGTAACATTGATTAATTTAATAGTTCG